TAAATTAATAAAATCAAAATATAACCATAACCTCATTTATTTTGTTAGGAGTATTTTTATATATCGGCTTTTACGTTATTTTTTAAATGAATTTGGACACAAAAATATTAACAATAACATTTTATTTATTCTGTAAGAAATCAAAGCTTGAAATTGAAAAGCTCGAAACTAAGAAAAGTTCGAAACCAAAAGAGATCGAAATTAGAACAAATGATCGAAATTATAAATGATCGACATCACATATGTTTAAAACTACTAACGATCAAAATGATATATGATCGAATTAAAGCAATATATTACAAAATCAGTAAATTATTTGTTTTTCGTATTTTTTTTTTATCATTTTATGTATAATTTTTTTACGAAACAACCCGTGATGGCTCCAGACTGCACGGGTTAGGTAACTTTTTAGATAATTTTTTTATAATTTACCCAACCTGTGCGGCCTAGAACCATAGCGGGTTTCACATAAAATTAAAAAAAAATTACAATTTATCTAACGCGTGCAGCCTGGAGCCATCGCAGTTTACTTTGCAAAAAAATATACATAAAATAAAAACTAAAAAAAACTCATTTACTAATTTGGCAATATAATGCTTTCAATTTTATACTATTTCGATCATATAAAATGTCTATCATTATTTCTTTAAAACAACTGTGTTTTCGATCATATTTGATTTCGATCGTTTAAAATTTCGATCATATGCGATTTAAATCATTTGTTTCGTTTTTTGTGTGTCGATCTTTTGTCATTCGAACTCTTGTGGTTTTGAATTTTTGCACACTCAAAAAACTTTCCAATGGAACTTTTTTTCGAACTTATTTTACCAAAACTCATGTTTTTTACCTATATGGAGTTTCTTGCTCATTGATGTGATGTTTTTATAATTTAAATTAAAATGATTTGTATTGGATAATGCTTGCTTCTCAATAACGCTGTAGGGTTACTTTAGTCCAAATAATAATAACCACAGATAATAAATGTAGTGTGGAATAAAGTCACCCGAAACTGGCAGGTGACTTTTCATACCATATTTTTAATTTTTTTGTAATAAAATAACTGCAGTTTCTTGTTTAATTATAATTTTTCTAAAAAAATAGTTAAAGACTCAAACGCAAGTAAATAAAGAAACATATTTTTACCAATTGAATTTTTACTTATCGCAAATCGAAATCCGAATAGTTAGAAATAACTGAAATAAGTTGTTGACTTATTTGAAACAACAAATCTTAAAAATACCCCTTCGAATTATTAAGACCATCCCCGAATCCCAAGGGTGAAAACACATATTTGGAGATTTGAAAAACAGTGTAATCATTTGAAACCTATTTTTTTTATAAATATCGTTCATTACATTTGAATAAAAAATAGCAGAATCTATTGTTCGTAAAATAAAATGTTATGCTTATTTTGCATTTTCCTTTGATAAAATATTTAAAAAACCATTTCATATAGGCCCATGGAGATCACAACTGTAAAACATTCATATACTGGCTTCAAACAAAGCTTGTTACTAATCTAGTTTTTCATTTGTTTATCTTAGGTGCTAGTAAACTAATAATCTTAATTTTTTTGTTGAAGAACCATTGCATCCCCAAAAAGTTGGTGCCTGGGTTGGAATATGTCGAAGAAAATTGAGTCCTTTTTTGCCACTTACTTCTGCACGTAATCTCAATGAGCCATTTATAAATCATGAGGAACTACAAAATGGGTATTTCCAACGAGATAGTGCAACAGCACAAACAACCAGATAACTCTTCAATATCTTGAAGAATTTTTTGATGACAAAATAATAAGCAAGAATACTGAAATCCCATATCCAACAAGGTCTTGCGATTTTTAATATAAAAAAAAATCTACTAAATGCAAATATTTTTAACTAAGGTCAACATTTCGGTAGTAAAATTAAGTAGTCAATAATAAAAAAGTTTGGATTCAGTCTTTTGAGGTCTTTTCAAATATGTAAACGTATGTTTAAAATTATGATATTGTTTTGAGGACAGGACATTTATTGATTTTTTTTTTAATCTGAACCTGGCTATTTCTAGTTGATAATAAATGAATGAAATAGATATGTCTAATTGAAAAATATTTTTCCTACGACCACCTAGGAAAGTGACACATATCACACTATATAGTCCTATGGAAAGTGCCCTATATCACACGCGTATAAATAAGAATTTACTTTCTACCCGTGTACGAATATGCTACTTTCCGCCTTAGCTGTCACAAAATTTCAAATGCATCATTTCTATTTTGATCTACGTAATGTCCATATTAATACTAAAATCGATATGATTGTTAAATTATTGAAATTGTTGTAAATTAGATCCTAGATATTTATCTTTAACAATTATTATTAAAATAATTTTAAAATAACTAACAATAAGGTATGTTTTCTTTTTATTCTTGTTAAGCACATAACCGATTAGATCATTCCATTGACGCAAAGCTTATTAGTTCAGGTGGTTAGACTATCGACTTTGCCATTTGAGACCTGGCGAGCGACCGCACTATGCTTGTGCCTCGTGCGACAATATTTCCCACTCGTGTGAAAAATGTCACTTACCACACTCGTAATGTAATATACTATAATATTGTTATAGGTACCTACTAAAATGACTGTAATTTAAAAAGTGTTCTTCTTTCTTAAGACATTTACAAAAATGTATTGGACAAGTCATAAAGCATAAATGTTAAAGGTGATGTGATGTGATAATAGTGATAATATCACTCCAAATATAATAATTTACTATACTACATATTAACTGATATTCAAACTTGGTACATTAAATGCTGTAAAATCTAGCAGGCTTGCATGTTTTGTCATTGCTTTTGTACTGTAACTGTATATTAGTGAATTGTCATATTTGATTAATTCGTGATATTATCTATTGAATAAAACTTTGATATCGGTTTTATGGATAATCACATAATTTAATGTACTATCTAATTTTTGACAACACGTTTTGTGCATTAGTAGCAATACCACTCGTTGTATTATACAGGGTGTTTCCGAACTTGCCGTCCAAATTTGTAGGGGTGGTAGTTCGCATAATTTGAGAGCGATTGGCAGATTTCATTTTACCAAAATTTTTAAAATAAAAATAATAAAAAATTAATTAAAAATTTTAAACAGGTACGGTCCTGCACAGCGATGGGACCGCCTCGAGCAATACGCACTGGAAAAACAATCGGCTACGTCTTTCGATACCGGCCGGGCGGAGGGAGAAATTTGCAAATCGCATCTGTTTTTAAGTCGTAAATCCCGATGAGTAACCGATCAAGCCACTATTGCGCTACGGGCTCAGGATAGGACCCGCTTTTTGATTTTTTTTTTATAATGGCTATATTTTGTTTATTATAATTTTTTTTAGAAAAATTAAATCTACCAATCGCTCCCAAATTATGCGAACTACCACCCCTACAAATTTGGACGCCAAGTTCGGAAACACCCTGTATATGATAATCTTTTTTGCTTTTTGTTTACATTTCTGGTTTCGAATAAAGATGGAAATAGCAACCGTATTGAAGAATAAGAATGACCTTCATAACCATTCAAAAATACGTATATCACATAATAATTTTTAGGTTGAACAATTTAAAAATTTATTGGTTTACTTACCTCGTATAACATAAATAAACTGTACAAAACTTGAGCACCATTATACAGTATCAGAACTTGTTTTAATTTAAATGGTTTCCGATTTTCCATTATACTTGGTCCCAAGAAAAGTATGACGTATAAATATCCTAAAATCATTGTAACTGTGGGGAATATACTTTGCATCAGCGGCCAGTCGGTGGTACGAGGATCTGCAAAAAAAATATTTCAATAATTATATGAAAAAAAAATATGATTTTGATGTGCTAATTTGGGCCAAGCGCCGTTTCAGGGTCGTTCTCAAATTTTCAAATACCTCTATACAGCATCGGTCTACATGAGAAATTCATTTAGATGCTTACTGAGCCCTTAACTTCGTCGAAGTAAGCAAAGTTTTCAATGCACGTTAAGCGACGTAAACCTGTGTATGAAAATTGTGAATTTAATATAACGTAGATCGCAAATCGAAATCCGAAAGGTCAGAATTATCTGAAATAAGTTGTAGAATAATTTAAAAATTACGAAACAAATCTCAAAAATCCTCCTACGAATTATTTTTGAGATATGTTTCCGAATTATTAAATTATTATACAACTTATTTCAGATAATTCTAAACTTTCCGATTTAGATTTGTGATCTAAGTTATATTAAATTCACAATTTTCGTTTCCCTGGATCTTGAATTTCAATTCGTAAGCATACTAGGGAATCAAACAGGTTGTGGGAGACATTCTATTAACTAAGCATACTAAGAAATTAAAGAGTTTGTAGGAGATATTCTATTACAGGTAAAATACATTTTTTTAAATAAATTAATTGTTTTACTAGATCATTTGAAAGAGATGGATGCGCAGACGCGCAAACGGTACCTTATCATTCTACCCCCAAGTAACATTTTTAGATTTATCAAAGTATACAAGGTAACCATAAAACCCTTTTTTAAAACTGATAAAACTTTTCAATCCGCAAGATAGCATTAGGGCTGCTATAAATCTGCTTTAAGACTAAAAGGGAGAATCCTATGACGGTTCTTAGGAGTATTTTTAAAACAATATCTTAAAACTATTTAGACCTAAGACAAAGTCCGTAAGAGTATATTAAGAATTTTATTAAACCATTTTTAAATCTTTTTTAAGATTATGATAACAAAATTGGCGATAACTCTACGGTTTTTTGCAACTGGAAATTCATATATAAGTTTGATGTATCTGTTCAGAGTGTCAGATGCTTCGATTTCTGTTATTGTTCCAAAAGTTTGTGCAGCCTTAATAGAAGGATTAAAAGAATACATCAAGGTAAGTCAACATTAATTTATTAATGATAATAGGAAAGGAGCAGTAATAGTAATATAATAAGTGGTAGTAAGAATTGTGTTCCATAAATAATTATTCATTACTTTGGTGGACAGTAACCGCCACAAGTTCCTCGTATGCAGAATTGGTAGTAAACTCATTTTGATCTGGAGAGTGCTGATACTGGTGATCAATGTGCTGAAAAGTATTTTGCGTTGACTGGGTTTGGTTTGCATTGCATAGTTTTGAGACTGAGGAACATAAATGTTCTGCGAATCATTTTGCGGTACTAAATTTGAATAGGATATGTTTGAATATTGGCTTTGTGAAGTGGTAGCTCCGCTTCTGCTATCGTTATTAGGGCTCTGTAACGGTGTGCATGTAGACGAACCTTGATTTCTGTACATTCCCATGTCACAATCAAAAAGAATTTGCGTTATTTTAAATAAGCGGCTATAAGCATCATATTTGCTTAACTTGTTTGCTACATGCTCTCCAAAAGCCGCATATTCATTTTTCCTTTTTTCACCAGCATCATGTAAAATGTTTTGAGCCCTTTCTAAAATTAGATCTGCAGTCTTAGATCTCTTAGAGACACGTGGTTTTGGAGCGGGATGTAAGGATTGTAAAGAGTCAGTTGTTTCTGGATCCACGTCTTCTTCATGATCAGCACTGATGTCATTGTCTAGGATTTCAGTCCCCTGAAAATACAAGAAATGGTTAATAAGAAGAAATCAATTACCTAAACAACTGTCACAGAATATAGTCATTCCGACCTAGTTTTTAATTGCAAAATGGCATCATTCCTTCACATTATTTTTCTTGGTATTGAGTCAAAATCAATCTGCTGTTGTGATGTGACGCAGTTGATTAAAAAAAACTTTTTTCCAGATGCCATCAGGAGTGCCAGAGTGGAAAGGAGTCGCGAAGGATTTCAAAGATAGTTGGAATTTTCCTCACTGTTTGGGCACAATGGATGGCAAACACATTGCAATTACTTGTCCACCGAACAGTGGTAGTCAATATTTTAATCACAAGCAATTTTTTAGCATAGTTCTATTTGCTGTAACAGACGCACGTTACAACTTTTTGTATGTACATGCTGGAGTTCAAGGGAGAATATCTGATGGTGGAGTTTTTAGACATACAGCTTTTGGGAAAGCACTCCTGAGCCAAAATCTTAACATACCGCAGCCTGAATCCCTCCCTGGTCGAGAAATGTTAACACCATACGTTTTTCTGGCAGATGATGCATTTTCCTTAACTGAGAATATTTGTAAGCTCTATACTATAGATTTGAACATAGGAAATCCTAAACGTGTATGTAACTACAGGATTTCTAGGGCTCGCCGAATTGTGGAAAACTCTTTTGGCTTCAGTTTTCCGTATATTACACACAACTATTGATGTTAACGTAAAATGTGTACAAAATATAGTTCTAACTTGTGCATATTTGTATAATTTTTTGCGATGAAACGCAGCAGCATAAGCTCTGTATTCACCAACTGGGTCCTTTGACAATGAAGATATTGACGTTGGAACAGTAATACCAGGATCGTGGAGATTGGATGAACAATGTTTAGCAGATTTAAAAGTACTGGGAAGGAATGCAAGCACAAGAGCAAAGGCAATGAGAGACGAGTTTATGAATTATTTTATGACAGAGCAGGGTCGAGTGGCATGGCAAGATAAATATTTAGTACAGAGAAGTTAAAATTATCAATCAGCATATTGTATAATACTTTAATAAAGATATCCACCGAGCAAAAAAAATATCAGTCCTTTTATACTCTATTTCCGAAGTACGTTTCGTTATAATATGTCCATTTAAGTTTTCAATAATTACATACAAGAAGTCCAAAACAAAACTTTAATAGTTTTTATTTAAAAAAGGACTGAATTTTTTTTTTGCTCAGTGGGTACCTGAATCACTCTGTATAATACAATAAGAAAGATACTTACATTAGCTGTTGCATTTCCACTGTCCAATCCTGTATTCTGGGCATCCTGAGCAAGAACAAACGATATCGCATCAAACCATTTCACTAGTTTACCGCCAGCACTACCGGTTTTCTTCTTGTTCACCTCATTCTTTGTATAAGTTCTCAAGCTTCTGAGTTTTTTGTTAGCCTCATCACTTGATATACCAAATTTTTTGGCGATAACTGCCCATCCATCTTTTTTAGCATTTCTGTCTTCATATATTCCGGTTTCCACATTCCATAACTCAGGATGTAAATGTATTTCATTAATAAACTCAATAATATTTGCATTAGACCAAGTATTAGTCATTTTAAATACTATAACCTCCAAAATGTTCACAGCAACAACAACAACAACAACAAACGAACACCAAATTAAAGTAAAATTGCGAAGTAATTTCGCTGGCCAAGCGATCGTCTGGCAACTCTTGCTGCAACCAATTAAATGCATAGGCAATACAAAACATGTGTTGCTATATGACCGGGACCCGGGACACACTAAAAATATTGTCAATATATTACCTAGTCTGGCTGTTATTGCTGGCAATGTTGCCAGCCACTCTGTTGCAGCTACATATTGCACTAAAAATATTGCCCATTTAGAAGCACCTTTAGGATTGGAATAGACATGTATACATATTTTTAAGATAAACATGTTTACCTACAAGAGTTAAAATTATTTTTTTTTAACATAGTTATGCAGGAAGACCATCAGAGACCCCAACTATTATTAAAAGGAACTAGATTTTGAGAATCTTTTCGATTCAGCCTTGCATGTATTACGACAATAAATTAATTAGATGTTAGATGCAGTTCGACATTCGGAATTTCACAATTATTTTTTTTTGTACAAGGTTAAAAAAGCAATGTCACATATCTAATAAATCTCCAAAATTACTAATAAGTAGGCTAACGGTAAATGCAACATTAATTGACCTCTCTCTTCAATATTTTCGGTACCTAGATGTTAAATGACTTAAACTTCTTGCTTTTTTTTTGTTAATATTTTATTGCGAAAATTTTAAAAAGAACATTGACTATGCAATCACCCAATATACAATTTCCTTTCTCACTGGGCTATTTACACAACAAATATTGGGTAGAAAATAATGTTGTGGTAAATTGTTCGGTATAATACAAGGTTGACATAAAGTCTAAAATCAAAATGACAATTTTAAGTTTTAAAGCAGTACACACTTAGATATTATTGTACAATCTATTTCTAAAACTTTGCATAATTTGGGAACATTAAGTTGAATAATACAAATTAATTTAATTAATAACAGGACCATGTAAAAAATTTAATGAAGGAATGATTTTCTATCCATAATTCTTTCTCTATTCCCGATCTTTATTCAGTCTGGTCAAGCGCGTAGCTAAGTTGTTTTCTTGGGGGAAGTAACACTTCACACATTATCGGTGAAAGCGCAGGTGTTATCTTAAAATATGGTAACAATGCAAAATGAAACGTCTAAAGTTCATATGTGCATTTTCAGAAAAAAAAGTGAGTTTTATAATGAAGTTTTTAATATTTTATTTATTTATACAGGGTGTTTCAGAATAAAGTACCATAGTTGGGGATTTGTAGATCTCAACTAGTTATAAAGAAAAGCTGAATATAATTTTCCTATAAACGTCCCAGTTTTCATAAATACATAATTTTCTAAATATCTTCCCTTAGACTAAAGACTTTAACTTAAAAATATGTATAGGTTAGTTAATCCTTATTATTAGTTAAAATACTCTATTTCGATAAATTACGATGACTCATTGGGATAGAATCAAGGGATAAGGAAACAATTTTAACACCCTATATTTTATAAAACTTAGATTAATAATTATTTTTTACGCAATTTGTCACAAAAAAGGGACTTCTGGTTGATCCTTGTAGATATTCCATTTCCGAGGTGATAGAACTTTTATACAGAGTGATTTGAAACATGTCTTAAATATGGCTAATTTTAAGTTCAATTTATTCAATTCTTTCAAATGCAACACCCTGTATATTATTTTGCCATAAAATTCCTTATATATTTACCTTTTCAACAATACTAACATGTTAGTCAATAACACATACAGGATGTCCCAATAGTGCTGTTTTATTAGTGGAAATAGGAAATAGAAAACAATCTAATATGTATATTTACATGTACAGTGTTTTGCATTAAAAAATTTATAGATTTGGTCAGCACCTCTTTTATGGACCACCCTGTATATTTAAGAATATTTGTTAAATATGGTACTATGACTTTTATAATAAAAATTTCTCCGTTTTTCTAATAATAAAACAGCACTGATGGGACACCCTGTATATGTGTTATTGGCTAACACATTAGTATTGTTGCATAGGCAAATTGAAAAAAATTAATAAATTGAACTTAAAATTAGCCATATTTAGGACATGTTTCAAAATTCTGTAAAATAAACAAGTTCAATCACCTTTATTCTTTAGCTTAGTATTTTATAAGTCTGTATATTAAATATTTAAAAATTTTAAAATCAATGTAAACCAATAATTTAATTTGGGATCTGCATCATTCTCTGATTAAAAAAAAAATAATTATTTGGCAACACTTTAATATTTTTTAAAACATTTTAGTGTTGAATTTAATATTACCAAACTATTCCAAAAATAAAATAATAGTTTAATTCAAAAAACATACATTTTTATTTGCCAGGCGCAATCACAACACCCTGTATATCCAAAAATATTTTTAAATATGTATTTATCAAATCCATATAACTTTTATATAAAACTTATTTGCGTGTCTATAACACAAATTAAAATATTGAACAATTACGTACTGTATTTTAATTTTAAATTTTCAGGAATATTTTTATTTTAGATAATGTTTGAGAAACTTTTTGTTTTATTGTATTTATTTTATCTCTTTATTTTTGTTTAATATAACGTTTAAAAAAATAATGATGTTGAATATGGCTTGGGGGGGGGGTAATTACCCCCATTACCCCCCCTTATCTACGCCCTTGAGTCTGGTTGGCCATGAAGCAATAATGATTTTTTTTTTCTACAAATGCGTTACATCTAGGGATAGATGCCATTTACATTTATCGAAGCTGTACTCCAATGAAATTAAAAAGCCAAATAGATCATCAAAAATCTACTAGTCTGAAACATACATTTTCTTAAGCAAAAAGTTATTCTACGTTTCAATGCATCGACGAATCAATGGCAAAATTTAAAGGTAGATCGACTCTAAAACAATACACATGCCACTAAAGCCCATAAAGCGTGGAATTAAAATATGACAAGATGTGATTCATAGGCCTTTTCATCATGTAATGAGCGCAAGCGCAGCCACTATGTTGAAATGGCAGTAATTCAAATGTTTCGTACTGTTTTGATCGACAATGGCTGGAAAAGTAATATTATCCCCATAGACAGATCAATCATTAGAAAAAATCGTTGATGGTGATTAACTTTTTTATAGCTCTGTGGAAGCACATAGTTCATAGTAGTGAACTGTTGAAAAGGTGGTTGAAGTGTCTTGGACGTTTGCTACAAAGGAAAAAAGTGAACTGATTGAGAGGTTAGGTGTGTCCATACTTCTTAACTGAGTAAAAAATTAATGAAAACAAATAATAATTATAACTCTATTATAATAAATTATGCCAACCAACTATTAGTACTTGCAAAAACACTTTAATTTACATGAAAGTTAATCAAGAGTATAATAAATAAAATACATTATTTAATATTTTGAGGAACATGACATTTTTAAGTATATTACTGAGTATACCGAAGTAGTATTTAATATCAAAAAAATATTATGTAATATCAGATAAGAATTTTCTTCTGTTGGACCACTTTCTCCATGAAAATGTATTGAACAAATATAAGTATCTTTAGTAACATCATCAATCGATCGAAAACCGTTGTCACTTCGACCACATTTTTTCACACCTAATGCACATTTTGAACATGTTTGTAAAATAATATGCATTGCCTCTAAATGATTTATACCGTGTGTCACTTTTACATACTCCATAACAACACCGTTTTGTTGTTCCTTTCCGTACAGATAACATAATTATTATACTTGATTGCAAAAATGCATTTTTCAATTAAGACACTAAACTTATTATTACTTTGCTTTTTCTTCCTTTTTTAAATGAATATACTTAAATTAATATTTATGCTTGTTTACAAAAACACTACGAAAAAAATTGTGATGAGAAGGCCTATTGAAGAGCTATGCTTATGACCTAAATATTTAAAAAAAGTTCACTTCGTCTATGCGTCAAATAGGAAACGTTCTCTGTTTTATATCAGTCAAACTGATGAATGGCATTTAGTTTGCAGCAGTGGGGACCTGCATGAAAGGTCGTAAAGATCTCCCGAAATTTGAAGGAAAACTAGAAAGAAGAAAATTCCAAATAAGATGCACTAATCAGTTTCCTAAAAATATGAAAGATGGGTCAAGTTTACCCATACCTTGTCCTGAAGCAATATATGAGTGCCGTGGACCTTGCCGACCAAATGTCTTTTTTATTTGACATCGCCCGAAAATTTGCAAAATGTTGGCGAAAGATTTACCACAAATCACTTATGATGGCGGTCCACTACTCTTTTATCTTATTCAAAGCGTCCAATTCCAAACAGCCTACCTTTATTCAATATCTTATTAAACTAGTTAAATCACTCGTAGCTTATGGTTGAACTGGTGTCAACCGAAATAGGACCAGAAAAGTTGGCCGACACTCACAAGCATCAATGGATCAAAGAAATGTTGGTGATAAAACAGGACCTTCAAGAAGAAGATGCTATCGTTATTCACAAAGAAAAATAAAAAAGAACCAAACTTTTGTGCAGAATGTGTAATTTTCCATTGTGCCTAATCTACAGGGACAAGTTTGTCCCAAAAAAATCTGCAGGGATATCAATGTCCCATGATTTTTTCGAAAACCCTTTTAATTAAAAAAAAAACACCAATTGCCTTTGTTTCTAAGTTCCTTTCACATAGATACACGAAATTTAAAGAGAAAAATAAAGAAAGAAAAAATAATTAGATTGAAATAATTAAGGTGCCCACGTTGTTGATGGATACTTCGGCCAAAGCTTCTGAAATTTTAGAGTACATTTGTGGCCTGTCCATGGTGATTAGTGTTTGTCTGTTTTTTCTATAGGCAAAGGAGTAGTTGTTTCCCGACGGAAAACGATCATTCGTATTTTGTGTGGTAGGTATAATGGCTTCATGATTTATTTATTTACTTTAAGTGGAAATTGCTATTACCAAATCACAAATATTAAATAATTTTGTAATTAGTCTCTTATAATGCGGGGGATAT